TGAAAAAAAATAGGAGAATTGAAAAATTTATAACATCCCTATGCTTTTTTTGCCGTCATCAAGGCGGTAGACGGTGTCGTATTACTCTCGATCGTACCTGTCCCGTACCTATCCCGTACCGTACCGTACCATCAAAGACGGCTGGCCACAATGCATATTCAAATAGGGCTTTCAAATGCAAGATCATAACGTGAAGCAACTTGGAAGAATTAGTATGTATGTATGCGAAGTGTATCGGGGGATGCATGCAGGGCGCGCGATAGTGCGGGTTCGAATCCCAGGTTATGTCTTTAAAAAAAGGATTTTTTTAAAGAATTTATACCATCCCTATGCTTTTTTTGTCTAGGTCATCAAGGCAAAAAAGCATAGCGTAGGACCCTGGGCTTCCAAGCTCTCTCGTTAATGACAAACCAATCACGCAGGATCCGAAACCATTTGGACCGGACAGGTGCCCCGTGGTACTCCGCTTACCCAGGGTGGATCCTGGTTCTGCACGCGTCGAGAAAGAGGTGCACATTATTGTCTGTTCGTCTTACCTGTGCGTGAAATTGTATAATTATAGTATTTGGAACGACGCGTGCGTTCAGTGTGAAGAAGGACGTTCTACCTACCCTTAGTAGAAGCAATCTTATCTATTTTTTCCAGTGCCGAGAATGTAAAAATCGGTACTTAGATAGAACTCTTCAGCACCTGGGCGCACGCATCCGTCAACACGTGCCGTTAGGTCTTGTCCCTGTTGACGCTCGTGGTACTCGTCCTCGTCGTGGCCGTCCTCCAAAATGTGCTGTGCAGTCCGATACTTGAGCGCCTTTTTCTGCGTCCAGTGTCGATTTAAGCATGTGCGCCTCCGCCTCGACGGGCGGGGAGCTTGACCCATCTCAGACTAGCGTGGGGAAGCGAGGAAGACGTCCCGAAAACCGCCCAATGTGACACCGGAGCTCACGGACACCGGAATAGTTACCAGAAGCAAAGTGAAGAGACAAAGTACTGGAGATTTGAATATGTCGGTACTGGAAGTGACAACAACGATCAGCAAGAGGAAACGAGGAAGACCGAGGAGTCAAACGAAAACGACCATGAATTCAAAGGACGTTGGAGGTATCAAGAGAACAACTGAAAACGTCAAAGGTGACAGAGCTAAATGATCGGACATCGTCCATCAAGCGTCATTTGGCCCAGAATCTGCGAAAACCAGGCTTAGGGTGAAATTTCACAAAATGACTTTTTCCCATTTTCAGCTTCTACTGGGCATGAGAGGTCAGGAAACAAAATATTACAGGTGTGGGTTGACTCATAGTGGTGTTAAAAGTATCTCAAACACACCAGGGTATTGTGTTAGAAAATCCAAAAAAAACACAAAATTGTTATCACAGGAAAGAAATGAAGAGAGATCCACCAGAGTGAAGGAAGAGACATGGATGATTTTTGTTTAGGTGACATGACAAGGTAGGCATATGGGGGCAGGCCTGTTGTGGCCTTGGTGCTGCAGGCTGTAGCCGCCATGCACAGTTCTGCATGAATTTTGTTTGCTCCTCACTCAGCACATTCTGGGGCTGAATACATGTACTGGCATGCTCTGGCGCTACACACCACAAGGAAACCCGACTCCAGTCGAGATGGCACCTTTTGAAGGGTGAATCTAGTACAACTGTTCAGAAACCAGAAAGAACACGGCCTTTTAAACTGTTCCACTGTTCATAGTATGCGCATAGTGTGCTGGCGTGCTGCAGTGTCTGCTTGGTGCTGACCAGCAAGTGAAATCGCGCGATTATCTCGGCACGCCGTACAATCCCTGGCAGCTGGTTGTCCAGCGAGGAAAGTTTCGAGTGGAGGCCTCTCGATCTGCTCGCTCATTCGCCTGGCACTCAGTAGCACTTCATCGCCAAGGACTTCAATTCAAAACAGTTTTCGCACTGCGCTTCAAGCCTTTTTCCTCGTCAACTTGCTGCAAACGTATGAGCTCTGCTGCGCGTGTTCCCTTTGCGTGAGGCCCAGAAACAGCTAGTATCTCCATACTTCGATTGGCTAGGATCAATGTCGTCCAGGTTCTCCTCGCTATCGCCATCACGACTCTAAATGGAGACGATTTCTTCACCATTTTCCGCAAGCAGCAGCTAGCGCAGAAATTTCGCCATTCCTGAGTGAAGGAGATGGAATCCGTTCGAAGAGAAGAGAACGGAACGAAAACGTTTGATGGAAAAGAAGTGTCTACTGAATTGTGTGGATTTGTGTCGTTGCATGGGAATGCTGATTACGAAACTGTTTTTCCACCACCTCCAAACTACCGTTTGAATAATAACAATAATAATAATAATTTAAAACCCTTTATGTACGGAAATATGTACAAAGACAAAGACAAAGACTGAATTTGATCTCGACTCAACTCGAATTTCATAATTCTCCGGGTCATAACTTTAGTCTCCTTTTGACGATTGTTGCAATCCTGGGCTTCCTGGAAAGCTCGTCTTGTATCAGCTGTTTCGCTCTCCTTGCTCGTAACAACTAGCTGTTACTTCCAAAAATTTCACAAACTGCCACGAGTCCGTTTACCGTTCTGAACGTGTTTCTACGTCACTGCATGCCCAGAATGATGGGGACATCCCTCATTCAAATCTGCGCAAGCGGCTATTGAGCGACATTAGGCGCGATTCGACTTTCGAGCTTCGTAACTCTGGAACCGCACATCGGAGCATGTCAGCGATTGTTTCAGTGGACAGCTGGGAGTTTTTACTTCGATCTACATATTTTGGAAATAACCCAGGAACGGCTGAGTTACGGTTGATTGAAATTTTGAAAAGTTTCCAGCCCAGGGGATCGAAAGTTGTACAGTCCGTACACAAAGGGTTAAAAAGCTTACGTGGAGAGAAAAAGGTATTCAACGCAATAAATAGAATAAGCTGCGCACTCAGTACAAACACCATTAGCAAAACTTGTTTTCATGTAAATAAAGAAGCTTATTCCTAAACGTTTTCGTCGCCATCTCATCAGAGGATTGTTGATTCGCCAGATTTGCCAGTAATCCTCTGATGAGATGGCGACGAAAACGTTTAGGAACAAGCTTCTTTATTAACATGAAAACAAGTTTTGCTAATGGTGTTTGTACTGAGTGCGCAGCTTACTCTATTTATTGCGTTGAATAATAATAATAACTGACTGGTTCGAGTCCTGGTGGTGACAGTCAATTTTTTCTTCAGACTTTCCCCTTTGTCTCTTTCCCTCAAACCAGTCAATAATAATAATAATAATAATAATAATAATAATAATTTGAAAGTAGGACGGAGGCAGAAAATATTACAAAAAAATGTATTATCTACGCATGCATCTACGCAAGAGTCACCACCAGCCAATTAGGACATGTGTCAAAGTATTGAACGTTTTCGTTCCCTTCTTGTCAAAATACTACAGGGAATGATGGAAATAAGCTAAAAGACTACAACTATAAGGAAAAGAAGTTCAGAAACATATCACTCCAATTATGTGTAGAAGTGACACGAAAAAATAGATGTGAAGAATCAAAAAAACAGCATGCAAATCCAAAAAGTGACAAAAACGTAACAATATAAACAAGAAGGTGACAAAGCAAGGTGACAAAGCACATTTAGGCACAAGTGGCAACAACGTTGCCACACTACACAAAAGAACATTATTCCCGTAGCAATGCAGAAGACGTTACTTCAGTAACGTCTGGCGCTAGCCAGGGTCCACACAGCTTTAACTTGGTATTTGTGTGTGTGTTTGTTTGTTTGTTCGTTTGTGTCACGCCTGGCGCTATCCGTATCTGACGGCAAAAAAGCATAGGATGTTATAAATTTTTCGATTTTTCCTATTTTTTTTTTGGCTAATCCTGGGATTCGAACCAGCACTATCGCCCTACATGCATTCCCCCATTCTTCCAAGTTGCTTCACGTTGTTAACTTGCGTTTGAAAGCCCTATTTAAATATTGCGGGCAGCTGTATGTGGCCAGCTGTGTTTGATGGTACGGTACGGTGTGGGATACGGTGTCTGTTGTGAAACCACAAGTTTTCGAGAGTGAAAGGCCTTCTCGCTTGTGACATTGTGTTCGTGTCAATGCAGTTGTATCCCGACTCCGCCGTACCGCTGATGATTACGACGTAGTATATGCTACATGCGCTATGTGCAGTTTGCTGTGGGCGCTGTAGTTGTATGTTGTATGTGTATGCTTTTCTCATATACGCTGTCATTTTCACGCTATAACTACCTGGTGGTTTTAGTGTTAGTTTCAGTTGTTCATTCAGTCATTCATTTCATTGTTGTTAGTCGATGGAAGTGAAATATACTGTTGAGAATAAATAGTTGTCCTCGTGCCGTGGGGGGTCGTTCGTTCCTGATACTTTAGAGAACCAGAGGGTTCACAACATTTGGTGTGACATCCCACAGCGGCAAGCTTCGCGTGTTGCTGGACTCGGGTGTCAAGGCGTCGTTTGTGACTGCAGCATTGGTGTCCGCAATCGATGCAGAGCACGTTGGAGTTGAGAATGTTGAGGTGAAGCAGTTCAGTGCGGAATCAACCCAACAGCGGATGGATAAGTTCGCCATCACGATCCTGGGTAGCTCCGCAGTCATTCTGGTATGATGGCTGATGTGCCTATCGATTTCCAACTTAGATGTATAAGAGATGTATAAACTTACTTCGAAGTAGATGTATGAAAATACGGTGTGGGCATGAGCCGAAAGAAGCTATGCGTCCTCCTCCAGGAATTTGCAACACACTGCAAAGTCTTGATCTGCTTATGATAAAACTGCATCATAAACTAAGCAAATCACACTCATACACCTCATCATCGACAGTAGTATCCTTTGTTACTTATCTTGCATACTCCATAGTCACAATAGTAGGGCCACTTCCGATGGCTATCCTAAACAGCATCCCCAGCCTACCCACTATCCTAGGTCTGCAGAGATCCTTAGAGGAAGAGCGAACGGCTGAATCATGAAATACTGGGAATGTGTGTACTCTTGTTCGCCAGGCAAGACTTACAGTTCAGATAATTGAGGTGTGTCATGAGGCAGTCCACCGGGAAGATAGCGGAGATTATTAGATTGCAAATGCCTGAACAAGGAAAGAGTATGAAGGAATGTTGGAAATTGTGTCTAAATAATCTTTTGACAGGGAAATTTTTAAAGGTTTTCATCTTGTAGCATTTTTAAGAGAGCATATCTGAGAAAACCAGAAACGCTGGGCGGGCCATCTCTCTGATTTCACTCAAATTTTGCAAGTAGGTTTCCTTTGGGGTCTACAACAATCATGCAAAAGGGCTCGTAACCCCTTGGCTAAAATGGCCCAAAATACAACTGAATATTGGGTCCAAAACGAGCGCTGGTACAGCGTACGCAATGGAGCTAAGAACAAACCACCACCATGCCAACATTACCTCACCTGAGCAGTCTTCACATCACCACCACATAGAGCCATGGCTACATCCAGGAAAGCAATGGCCATCATCTCCAAATATCACTAAATTGCATCGGTAGAATAGCCAAATGTCAAGGGCCATAGCGGGAGCCATTTACGGCGTCTATTTTTCTGAACCATGCACTGCAGGATAGTGGACTAACTCCACTACCACCCAGGACATGTCTCGTAAAAAAAGTGTTCCAGGTTTTCTGGAAATAAACAAATTCAAATATTTTCACTTCACCACATTGCAACATTGCCACTTTCATACCCGACGACGGAAAGAGCCTTCTCAAGCTCAAACACCAGGCACTGCTCCAGACACCAGCACGCCAAACACTGCAGCGTGGTCACCTCTACTGAGTCTGACAAGAAATTCGAAATGACAACCCTTGTCACTCCAAACAACAACCATTTCCTTCCCTGAACAATTTGAATTTCACTAGCAGCAAAGCCCCTGCAGAAGTGCAAACACATTGAACAAATCTCGATTTGTGCGATCCAAGCATGATATTTTTGCGTCCTGAAACTGGCCGTGTACGTGTGCCGACCACCGCGTGACATAGCAGATCGACGGATTTGATCGATTTGATCGACAATCAAGATCATAATCAAAATCTAGATGATCAGGTTGATCAGCAACATGATATTTTGCTATGCTACTACTGCGATGTATGATGGAATGCTGCTTGAGTGAAACCATGAAGAGGCACGATGCCCTGCACTTCATGATTTGGGATCTAGCTACAACCTGTTTTCCAGGAATATCATTACATTTCGACCACTTAGCATACTGACCAACCACCAAAATCTCAATCCCTTGACAATACATGCAGAATCCCTGGATTTTTTGCAAAATCCCTGGATGGCACAAAAACAAGTGAAAAGGGCTTTTCCCGCCAAAAAAAAGTTCAACTCTGCAGATCTGCGTACGGCACTGTTCAACCCTGCACTGCAGTTCGATCAGTCGGCGCGTCGGCGCCCACCTATAGCGCCTGTCAGTGCAGATCTTGTGGTCAGGTCTTGAAAGTGCCGTTTACAGTACGAAGTGCAAGTGGGCTCCGTACATATTTTTGAAAAAACCAGGACATTCAAACCAAATCCACGGAGTTTTCAGGAAAATCCTGTATCAGACGAAACTGTGACTTGTCCGGGATTTTCCTTCAAATCCCCAGGACCCCGGGAGTAGTGTTGATTTCCCGGGATTTTCCCAGGAAAACCGGGAGGATTGGCCAGTATGACAGGTATGACAGGTTCGAGCACTTGCTTTTCAGGTGCACCCCGGAGAGATCGACTTGTTGGGTACGGAAATGCATCCACGGCTATTTCGTGCATCTGGTAAGTTGGTTGTGTGTTTCGTGCATTTTTTTAGGATGCCAACAGTAATTTTGTGTTTCACTCATGGATGACATCTGTTGCCGGAGCGACATAGCTCGACAAAGAGAATAAAGTTTATTCCTATCGACATAATGTCTCTATTCCCACCTGATCTATATTCCTGCAACCAGATAACGTGATGAGCTCACTGATTAGAGTGTCGACCTTTTTGAGACAAATGGTTGCTCGACAAGAAAATTACAACAAGCAGACGTACGCTCGCTCCTCACCGAACCTGGGGAAAACCCACACCTTGCTGCATGCTGCGAACTCCGGCAACTCGGGTAAATGTACGCAAATATCGTGTTGCTGATCAGCCTTCATCGTCCAGATTTTAATTCTGATCTTGATTGTCGATCAACTCAATCAAATCCGTCGATCTGCTATGTTGCTGGGTTGGTTGGTTTATTCTAATTCACACAATAAGCGGGAACTAGACCCAATGTTATAAAGGCGAATGGATAAGCCGCATTTAGAAAAGAGGAGACACTAATTCGAAAATTACGAAAGTATCTGACAAGCGAGTATCAGGGGTGACAGTGTGGTTGAGGAGAGCTAGGGGTGGGCTAATCTAACCAACAATATGGTAGGCAACTTATGTTAAACTTGTTCTGTCTTGCTATTGTCCCAACATCATCTGGCAGCAGGTTCCAGAGTGCAGATCCTGCGACTTACGGCCGAGAAACGCTAGAGCAAGTGGATGATGGCCCGGCTGAGTGCTTTCGATTTCACACTTGGATTGATTCATAAATCCATTCGCATGCATTGAAGTTGTTCGATTTCCATGTCGTGAGCCCTGGAATCGATTCGGAATCGATTCCACGGATCCACATGGGGTGATGTGAAAAAAGAAAAGAAAAGAAGCCACGTGTTGAAAAAGTCATGACGGTACTTAAATGGTCCGCCACATGCACATGCACACAACTCCATCAAACCTCTTCCAGCAACAAAATAGGGGAAAGGCAAAATAAAGGAGGGAGAAGAAAATGCTGGCAAAAATTGTTCATAGAATAGCTAGGCACAGTTGCTTCAGCAAAATTTGTTACTCTTTGCACTGCTGTGCTCCAGTAACAAACAAGGAACATCATAAACGGAGCAATATCGCACCGAGCAGAGAACAGCAGTTCTTCTGTCTCGTCATCATCAAACACCGTCGAGATCGGGAATGCCTCGTCATTGTCCATTTTTCAGGCAACACTTAGCGTCAAAGTAAACATGGAATATTCTACATGCGAAAGTGACTACATCATGTACAAGTACATGTGAAAGAAAAGCGATGAGAAGAAAGTCAGTATCAAACAGCAGTTTTTTCGTGAAATCTAAGACTTACGGCCCTTTTCCTGAAAAATAAGTCTGTACACATTACCAGACAGATATAATGTACAAACTGGGCAGAATCGATTCCACGGATCCACATGGGGTGATGTGAAAAAAGAAGAGAAAAGAAGCCACGGGTTGAAAAGTCATGATGGTACTAAACTGGTCCGCGATGAGAAGAAAGTCAGTATCAAACAGCAGTTTTTTCGTGAAATCTACGACTTATGGCCCTTTTCCTGAAATTTTTGGCAATGTCAATATATTGACACTATATATTGACACTGCCAAAAATAAGTCTGTACACATTACCAGACAGATATAATGTACAAACTGGGCTTGCATGCTTTTTCATGTACAACATACAACTTGTTCATAATTACAAAGCATGTTCCATATAAGCATTCATCCATATTGGAATTCAAGCCCACATTATTACACATAATTATGTCATAACAGAATTGCAGCACTTCCAAATTAGGAACTCCCAATGCTCTTGGGGCCCCTAGCATTTTGGCGGCATACTTGTATCTATGTATAATTTAGTGCCTATCTCGCCTGCATAAATTCTGTTGTGTTTTTACATTCTCTCTTCACTCCGATGAGCTGCCTTAGACAGCGAAACTGGTCGGTCCTTTAAAAAGATTTGTAAAACCGAAAATATGTGTTCTGTGAAACAACTTGTGTCGGGGATGTTTCCCTCTTCAGTAAATTAATGATTGTTGTTTGGAGTGACAAGGGTTGTCGGTTCAAATTTCTTGTCAGACTCGGTGGAGGTGACCACGCTGCAGTGTTTGGCGTGCTGGCATCTGGAGCGGTGCCTGGTGTTGGAGCTTGAGGGGGCGCTTTCCGTCGTACTCACCGATTTGAATGAGTTTGCCCGACAGGTTTGCTATGGAGCGAGTATTAAATATTGTAAGTCGGTGAGTGGCAACATGTATAGACTAGAATCATTCGGTTCCGAACGCAAATATCTGTAATCCGACGGGCGTTTTCCAAAAGCGGCCAGATAGATTTTCTTCATTTCTTCAATAAGTACTGCCAGCTATATGGTTCATGCAATAAACATTAGCTATTCGGTATTGAATCAATGTGAAGGACCTACAGTCCGTTTCAAAAAGATGAGCAATCCTGGCTATCGCCCGCGGAGTTTGCCGTCTTACCGTATTAGCACTCGAGAGCTGCCTGGAAAAACTCACTGTGAACTGGAAGAAATATTCCACCCGAAAGCAGGAAGAATGACAACTCACTCACGTTGATACAGTCATGCACGTCTCGTTTACAACAAACGAGTTCTTCCTCGTATCGGTAATTGAGTCAAAGAGAACTTGTCGAAACGAAAGTGTTGTAAATGTTGACGAGCGGCATGGGTCCCACTTCGTTTTGCGATCAAATAGTTTCTTTGAGCTGTGATGCAATTTTGTTTTATTTTTATTTATTTCACCTTACCGTGGCCAGAGAATATAGGCCAATATCGACGGAGGGGGCAGTAGCCAGCCATGGCAGTAAACAAAAACAAAGCAAAAAGCAGATATTACACATTACTGGAGGCAAAGAGAAACAAACCTCGATAAATAATTAGCAGTTACCGTACTTTCCGGGGTATAAGCCGCACTTTGTTTCGCTAAAAATCGGACCAAAATCACCCCTGCGGCTTATACACCGAATATGCTTGCGCGCATGAATGCTAAGCATACATCAGTATGCATGCCGACGTCACGTTATATGTCATTCGACCCTGTGTTGCTATCCCGGCACTTCTACTAGTTCTAGTCACGGCGCGGGCTACACCATACGGTACGCGTATACGGGGACTCTATTTTGCGTACTGCAAGTGCCGGTTTCCACACATCCATACATAATCAATTTGTAGAAAGGCCATTTGTCAATGAGTGTGAAAATTTTGGTTTGTGGGTGCGGCTTATACTCCGAATACCAACTTTTAGTCAATATTTTGCCTCAAAACAGGGGGGGGGGGTGCGGCTTATACCCCGGTGCGGCTTATACCGCGGAAATTACGGTATTAGGGAGGTTCTGCTCTACGTTTCGGGAACATGACGCAAAGAATCACGCGAAGTCTCTTCACGTTCTCGTAACGTAAAGAAATCCTGTTCTGCTCTACTCTTCACGTAGAGAAGTCACGTGGAATGAGTACTGGGATTTTCCCTTCTATATTTGGCAGTTTTCTGCATCAGTTGATCGATACCCAGCCAATCCGTACGCATTTTCTTTGCGTGTGCCACAACATAGAGAACCTCATCTCCGCGTAGAAATCTGGACCCAAAACATAGGGAGCTGTAGACTCTAACGCAGACACCTGCTCTCTACGTGATTTCTCTGCGTTTCACGTGATGCAGAACCTCTCTATTAGAACACGAGCTTCATATTGGCCTTGAAACCATTTAGGATACAAAACGATTTTACTGATAGAGGCAGGGCCAGCCAGAGAGAATAGGCAGCGAAAAACGGAGATCTGGTATAAGCTGATGTTCGGGCTTTAGGTAAAGTGCAGGGATTGCGCGTAGAACGAGTGGGAAGAAACCAGTTGTATTTACGCAAGTGTGGCGGGGCTTTGTCAAGACGAATAGAATGAACAACAATACACAGTTTTCGATCCGCTTGACTAGAGATAGGGAAGGTTTGCGGAAAAGGACTTTCAGTATCCTCTTATTGTGGACTTCCAGGGTACTCATTAACGATTTACTTAGTAGGGATGACCAGGTGGTTGAGCAATAGAAAAAAATGGGGAGAATATATCAATGATAAAAAAGGCAAATGCATTCAAGCGGTAGGTGGGAGCAATGAGACACGAGATAGCCAACAGCTTTACTGACTTTGCTACAGATATAGTCGGCATGTCTACTAAACGATAAGTCTGAGTCAATAACCAAACCAAGATGCTTGTATTGCTTTACCACTGTGAGATCTGTGAGGGATCTGGGAAGAGTAAATGATTATTTTGGCTCTAGAGTTCGGCAGGAATAATATCTCAGTCTTGGCGATATTAGGTCTTAATCTCCAGGTAGTCATCCACTGATGGACTTAGTTGATGCCGCGATGGAGACTGTCTCGCAGCCTCTCTAGACACTCATTGAACCGGAGCAGTGCAGTATCGTCAGCCAATAAGGACACACCTTCAACATGACTGGGAAGATCATTAATATACACTAGGAAAAGGAGGGGCCCTAGGATGAATCCCTGCGTCACTCCGGACAGAACAGGTGAAGCATCTGAGAGAAGTCCAACTACAAAGACAACTTGCGTTCTGTCGGATAGGTAGTCTGTTATCCACTCTAGCGCTGCGCCACACACACCGAAAACTTTGGAAAGTTTAGCAAGTAATGCACAGTGCCACACGGTGTCGAAAGCTTTCTCGAGGTCGAAAAAGCACATGGCAACTTTCCGCTCCATATGACGATGGTCGGCAATGTTTTGGATCAGCTTGGTGAGCTGTAGAGCGGTCGAGTCACCACGACGAAACCCAGATTGCGCGGGATCCAGAGCAGGAGAAATATGATTATATAATTGATTGAAGAAGACCAGTTCGTAAAGTTTGGAAATACAGGACAGGAGGGAAATTGGGCGATAGTTAATCGCTTGGGATTTGCTGCCTTTGCACTTGCAAATAGGCACAAATTTAGCCAGTTTCCATTCAGTAGGGAACTTGCCTGTGGTAAAGGAGAGGTTAAATAGGTGGCTAAGTGGAAAAGAACTCGCAGGAGCTAGTTCTTTCTCGAAGGAATGCACAATGGAACTTGTAAAGACACTATCTCAGCTCTTTGCTTCCAAAACGGAGTTCTACCTGGAAAAGTCTTCCACGAGCGGCGTTAGCTTCGGGTCATAAAGGGTACACGGGATCATTCAACGAGATACCATATCCCGAAATCCCATTTGCTACATCTTAAAAGAACTACGACAAAAACGCCTTTTTACGGTACATTCACAACATGACTTACAGGGTTTGTAATTTGGTTGTGGCTTTGAAAAGCCCGTCAGGTAGGTGAACAAGTTGATTATTATTCAATTCTCTGGGAGAACAAAGTAGAATTTGGATAGGATGTATGATCCTGGAAGAATATTGCGCACTAGTTTGTAGGTGGAGTGTGTGGATTGCAGTGAGGAATGCGTCCCACCCGCCTGTATAGATTCACACAAAGTGTGAGTTACGAAGTCTGAAGAAAATGTTGAACGGTTTCTGCTGGGATGACCACTACACCATAGCTCAGTGGTTACAGCATCGCTGGCTACAAGCGAGGGTCCCTGGTTCATGTCTTGGTGGAGTCAGGCAATTTGTTCTTCAGACTGCTCCTGCTGCCATTGCCGTCGTTGCCGATCTTGTCATTCTTCTAGTTGATGCGGTTCCTGTCACTGCCATGCCAGTAAGTGTCTTGTCCGGTTGTTTTTCGGGTGGTCTAGTTAAATGCGAGGTGACGTTGCTTGGTGTTGATGCTCCTGTGTTAGATCATCTTGTACCAGGATGATTCTTTGCTGGACGTCTCCTGTTGTTGGATGCGTGCGTCCAGATGTTGACAAGATCGGCAACGATGGTGATGGCAGTCTAAAGCACTGACATCAACGCCAAGCAACAGCAAAGATCGGCACTGACGGCGATGGCAGCGTCTAAAGCACCGACAGCGGCAATGGCTAGGGTCCACATGACTAGCAATTTGGTATCGGATGTGCCCACCGCACATGCTGATTATTCTGATGTTAGTTCTGATAAGTATGAGTCGTCCATTGCTAGTCATTTGTTTGAGCATCCTGATTGTTGTGCTGTGTATTCAGATGATTTTGTTCGATTGTGTCATGTGTACGCAGTGCTAGATTGTTTTGAAGCCGTATACATCCACACAAAGAAACCCAACCTTTGCAAGCAAGCAAAAGCAAATTAAATTCACACTTAGGCTGTTAGGTAGGTTGTCAAAACCTCGTTAGTTATGTCCAGTGATTGTCTCTTGTTGTCGCACTACATGTCACGCTGATTAAGTTTTCTCGCACTTGCACTTTTGTGTCATTATTGCTATGTGTACAGGTCACACATTTTCGCTGTTTACTTTAGCTATCTTCTTCTTTGCGCTGCTTGACCACCTCCTTACCGTACTTAATTTAGTGTTCCTTTTCCTTTTCCTTTGCCTTTATTTCACCTGATGAGAAGGCTTCAAGTGAAAGTATACTTGTGAAACCAAAACGTTCAAGATTTTCGTAAAGTCCTTTTTATGAGTATTGTCGCATTCTTGTCTCAGAGGAAACTGTCTATTTAAGCAGTAAAACAATAAGTTATGATTTTAAAAATTTTACCCGGATGGTGAGCCAAGTTAATTACGTTAAAAGAGGAGAAGGACAACCTGTCACGAGTTATGACTAGGGACCATTAGCAAGCCGTGAAACTTCTACGCGAAGGGGGAGCTGGTTTAGAGACCATTCGTGACAATGTGAAACATGTTCGTGTCTCAGGAGTTCAGAGGGACTACTCGTCATGACCGCTATGAGCGGGTTTTTAGGTATTTCTCAAATTTCGAAAATGTCTCACCCATTCTTGTTGAAATAAAGCCGAAACTGTCGCAGTGCACACACCTCCACGCATGCCGGCAGAGAAGGCAGCAGCACGGGCAGCACAGAGCGGAACAGCGGAGCTGAAACTGACTCTCACCGTACCGATTTGGCACCAAAAGCGGCCCAGAGTTTGACCCACGCCAGCGCCGTATCCGAAACCGCCTCCGACGGTGCCAACACCACTCCGAAAGCGGACCTGCTCTCCAGCTCGTACCAAATGACCCAGTCAACGACCAGTATGAACACGGCATTATATCGCCCATGTCGGCAACCAGCTCGACTGTGCACCCTGAAACGCCGCCAGGCAGCACAGGTACAGGTACGACAACATCCAACCTCACCGCACACGGACACAACCACTCCTACCACCACAACATGCAATCACCCAGATTCTGCGCTTGCTGAATATCTCCTATCCTCACTGGTGTCTAACACAGACATGTCTAAACAGCCAACAAACTGGATCACCTCCGAACAAGGCAGGAGAACCAGTCCCAGTGCCTTTTGCTTCCGGTCTGGAGTCCAACCTAGGATGTGGAAGACGGCCACCGTGGTTCTCATCCACAAGCGATCTTCCCGCTCGACTACAGGCCCATATCCTTACTGTGCATAATCTCGAAAATCATGGAAACTCTAGTAAACAGACACATCGTAAACTATTTTGAGGACCACCATCTGCTCACGTCGCACCAGTTTGGATTTCGCGGAGGCCTCGGAACATCAGACACTTTGCAAGCTCTCCAAACTGGCTGGGGCAAGCGCTGTGGGCTGTGGAGGGCGGCGCGTATCCTTGCTGTGGACATCACAGGAGCATTTGATCGTGTCTCACATGTCGGCCTCCTCCACGAGATGCGAAGCCTAGGCATCAATGGTCTGCTTCAGAGATGGCTGGCCTCGTCCCTCGACACCCGTTCCTTACAGTGCCTCGTTGGAGGCGTACGTCATCTACGTACACGACTACCGCTGGAGTCCCTGAGGGAAGCATTCTTGGACCAACACTTTTCCAGGCGTACGTCAACGACACGCCAGATGTTCTTGCTGACGTCGACAGCCACAGCAGCCCCTGGGGCATGACATCGTTTTCGTCGTTCCCCTGCGCAGTGGTAGGTTCTTTTACGTCCAATTCCCTGCTCTCCCAGGGAGAGTATGGCAAGCATAGATTTGGTATTCTGGATAGCTAGGGACAGAAAGCCTAGCAAGGGCCAACAATGTGAACTTGGCCAGCCTCAGCCGAGTTCAGCTCGTCGGAGCACTCCGGGAAAAAAATCCAGCCAAATGATCGAGTAGCATTACAGACTGGGCTACCAATGGACCAACCCTCAAGCCGCCAGCACCAGGATGCTTACGATCATGAATCAGCTGAGGGAGACAGTGCGCCTTCTTGTGGAAGATATTGCGGACCTGAAAAGTCTAACAGCCTCCAAAGAACAGAAAAAGGAAGCCGCCATTGCGGACTTTCGAGAGGAGATTCGGGCTCTCCAGGAAAAGAACGTCTAATTCCAACGTGAAAGGAATAATCATTGGAGCCAGCTGCAGTACGTGCTAGGGGGGGATTCCTACGCATCCCGGATAGTCACTCTATTGATGGAGGTAGACGGTAGAGGTTCAGGGGTTTACGTCGGGCCCTAGACGACGGCTACAAAGGCCAACTGGACAACAAAGAAGGTGACGCCTAAGAGAATGTTTTATGATTGTGCGCATGCTTATAATGTGATAGTGACGTCATTCCGCTACAGTACTCCCCCGCCATTGGTGAGGCCGGGAGGCACGAAGCACGATAAACAAGAAAAAGAGAGAAAAGAAAGGAAGCGCGACATGTACAATGCGGAAAGGCAAAAATAGAATACAATATGTACAAGAGAGCGCTGCGTGTATGAAGTTTGTTGATAACGTGGCAACAAAGACCAAAACAAAACTCAGAAAGCAGGAAGTGGAAAAGAGAGAGATGCATGACAGAGGCGGGTGTCAGAGTTGGAAAGAAAGAAAAGAGGGAATGTACGCGTGACAGAGGAGTGTTATCATGTAAGAGGCGGCTGCAACGTACCAATCACTGAGTACAGGAAACACTGGGGCGAGGCGTGCCGTGTGAGGCGAGGACTGATGGAGGCGTGCGTACCTCCAAGTGCTGTGCCGGGCGTATGCCTGCAAACTGATACTTGGGGTGGAGGTGGCCAATTTCCATCTTGAGGCCAGGATGAATACAAAGGACGAAGACGACTGAACGATGTGCTATGACAGGATAGCGGGTTATCCATGTGGGCCCGGAGGTCGGCAGGGGCCACACTAGCTCCGAGGCGGATCCAGTTTCGAGATGGTGAGGCTCAAGTTTTCCAGTCAACAGTCGGCGATTGACTGAATCCCGAGAATTGAGGCGAGCAGGGAACTGCGGCAAGCCGAGCTCAGGGATGGCATGATGAAAACTCCGAAGAGCGCATGTCGGGGTCACCAATTTAGGGTTTTAGGGTTTTAGCAGTCCGAGGCGGATCCAGTGTCGGATGATGCTGAGATTCAAGTTTTATGTTGCCGGCCGGCGATTGACGGCAACCCAAGTGTTGAAACGAGCAGGAAACTGCGGCGGGAGCTCAGGGATGGCACGCATCGGGCAAACTCCGAAGTGGGCAGCGTGTGGGGTCATCAGTTTAGGGCTTTATGTTGCGCTCTAGTCGACGGCTACAATGGCCAACCGAACAACAAAGAAGTTGAGGCCAAAGAGAACGTTTTTTTTTTACGCACGACTATAATGTGATAGTGAAGTCAGGTCGATACAGAGGTATCTGTACGCGAATTTTTTTTCTTCTGTATTGAGTTGTGTACAACTACAGTCTGTATCGGCTATTGAGTGACCGGATATAAGAATATATCGGCTACAGTGATATTGGTAAGAAATATCAAGGGCAATACACCACACAGCCACATTGCGCTCTTAGCCGATCCAAACTCTGCACTCACATCACCAACACCACAGAAACAGATGTCTGGAGGGTCATTGTCAATATCAATCTATATACCGGAATTGTCCTCTTGTACTTTTCGCTGCTGTTATTTTGCTATCTTTCGCTGGTTTTGTAAACCTGAAACACTGACATGACATTTCGGAATCGTAGGAAAGCATGATTCATATTTTGGAGAGCAGACAGTCGTCACAGAGCAAGGCTGTCAACGCTGCAAAAAAATAAGAGAGAACTTTTCTTTCATTCTGTCGTCCACCAGGCGCAATGGGAAGAAAAGCACTGCCCTCACATCTCGTTGTAGCTATTTTTCAGTTCAGACCTTGACAGATCAGGACAATGGCACCCAGGAGCAAGAAGAGTGGAAAATGAATAGCAATAGCAGCTAGCGTGTCGAAGCTTCGCCATGATGTCAAAACTCCATGGCTATCTGCAGTGGCCATGATCATCCTTAGCAGACGGAAGGTCATTCGTAGCTGTCTACATACAACCATCGCCAGCAATGGCATGTCATCACGTACATTGAAAATCAACATAATTTTTCGAATCAACCTTTTTTTCAGGATCACTTTTCAACGAGGACGAAGCAAAGTCGGCCGAACGAAGCCTAGAGGAAGAAAATCACCCTCTCCACTTCACCATCACGATACTGACATAGATACGAGATGAAACAACTAAAAAATCCACAAGAAAACTGTACGACCATCATCGCGCTGACTTTGGTCTGACTTTGGTCTGAGAATTTCTATCACGATCAAAAATGTACGAGGAGCACTCAAAAATAAGCAACAGACGTACCTCTATCGCTCTCTACTCCTTTTTCAAGGCACAAAAGTCGACTCTCCACTTTCAAACCAGGAACCAGACATACCAGTGGTCCTTTTCAGCTGCTCCACGAGCGCAGGAAATGTTCACCAAGGGGCGCAGAGCAGCATCCATTCCAGAAAAAGAGCTAAAATACGAGTGAGACTGCATGCCTGAGTACATGAGTACATGTATGAGTACATGCAGAAAATAGTCAATTTCAGCGTTTCTGCTCCAAACAGCAACTAGCTTCGACTAGAAACAAAGATTACACCAAAGGATCAAACAACAACCATTTTCTGCAGTATTTTTGCAGATGGCTTCCTTGTGCTTGGCCCAGCACGCCAAAAATCACACCTCGGAGGAGTACAAAAATTACAACTCTCAGATGTCCTCGATTGCTGGCCATGTGTATCTGATACAAGGCTGCTCTTGGTTCTGCACGGGTTTCGGTACAGGGTGGATGAAGAACCACTTTTGCGCTTACGTTGGTTGCGACCAACTTGTGAGTGTCATCAGGTATCGGTCATAAAGGGTGGGGAAGCGTACCTGAGATCAACCACCGAGATGCCACTGGGCACTGGCGGATAATCATCGAAAAGGTGGCAGATTCTGCTCGAACAGCAGTGAAATTGGCAGAACGATACAAACCTTATGGCGAACAATTTGTCGAATTTTCCTCCATTTCTTTATCCACATACCAAACATGCATGAAATTTACAAGAAAAAGTACCGAATTCTGCCAATTTTCTGCCAGCATTATCCGCATATGCCTAGATGCCACATCTTAAAAGAACAGAACAACGCCAAAAAAAGCCTTTTTACGATGCACAACATGACTTACAGGACTTTCAATTCGGTTGTCGCGTCAAACAGCCCGGCAGGTAGGTGAACAAGTTTATTCTTACGCAAAATCCTGGGAGAACAAAGTAGATTTTTGATAAGATGTATAATCACTTCCTGGAAGAATTTCTTAATACTCTTTATACCGTGTTTTACACATTTGCCACATCTCAAAATAACAGAACTACGCAAAAAATCTCTTTTCCGATATATGCACCCCATGACTTGGATAAGATGTACATTGTGTAGTATCCCTGCCTTGTTTGTAGCGTATCCTCGTACGTAAGCGTATCCCCATACATTAGCGTATGTGGTCTGTTGCCTATAAAAGCTGCTAGCCATTTCTGTTTTCATGAGATTTTATAACAACAACAAAGCCGGACAGAAGAGCTGTTCAACCTCCATGTGTGTACCAGAGAAAGTTCTTTTTATTGTCGCTTCTTTTTTCGAAGAGAATTGGTGAGCACACATGCTCATTCCATGTGCACTGCAAAGTCACAAACTCATTTTCATTTCTCAGAATCATTTTCAACGTTTTTGGCAAATTGCCCTCATCAGGATGCTGTATGAAGTGGAAGTCTGCAAAGGAGAAGTTATATACATCAATTTGGTGTTCTTAGGTGTCATTCAGGTTCTCACATGTAACGGGAAGACTTCGTGGTAGTAAAATAGATATTTCGCAAAAAAACAAAAAGACAACTCTTTCTCTTCCTTTCGAAGAACCGAACTTGCCGAGCCTCACCGAAAGCAAACTCTGAAAAAGCCCTACACTAGTACGGGATTCAGCGCAGAGCAAAACATAATTATGAGTCATTATACAATGTCATTATACAATGCATGCAGTAGGGACAGAAAGCCTAGCAAGGGCCAACAATGTGAACTTGGCCAGCCTCAGCCGAGTTCAGCTCGTCGGAGCACTCCGGGAAAAAAATCCAGCCAAATGATCGAGTAGCATTACAGACTGGGCTACCAATGGACCAACCCTCAAGCCGCCAGCACCAGGATGCTTACGATCATGAATCAGCTGAGGGAGACAGTGCGCCTTCTTGTGGAAGATATTGCGGACCTGAAAAGTCTAACAGCCTCCAAAGAACAGAAAAAGGAAACCGCCATTGCGGACTTTCGAGAGGAGATTCGGGCTCTCCAGGAAAAGAACGTCTAATTCCAACGTGAAAGGAATAATCATTGGAGCCAGCTGCAGTACGTGCTAGGGGGGATTCCTACGCATCCCGGATAGTCACTCTATTGATGGAGGTAGACGGTAGAGGTTCAGGGGTTTACGTCGGGCCCTAGACGACGGCTACAAAGGCCAACTGGACAACAAAGAAGGTGACGCCTAAGAGAATGTTTTATGATTGTGCGCATGCTTATAATGTGATAGTGACGTCATTCCGCTACAGTACTCCCCCGCCATTGGTGAGGCCGGGAGGCACGAAGCACGATAAACAAGAAAAAGAGAGAAAAGAAAGGAAGCACGACATGTACAAGGCGGAAAGGCAAAAATAGAATACAATATGTACAAGAGAGCGCTGCGTGTATGAAGTTTGTTGATAACGTGGCAACAAAGACCAAAACAAAACTCAGAAAGCAGGAAGTGGAAAAGAGAGAGATGCATGACAGAGGCGGGTGTCAGAGTTGGAAAGAAAGAAAAGAGGGAATGTACGCGTGACAGAGGAGTGTTATCATGTAAGAGGCGGCTGCAACGTACCAATCACTGAGTACAGGAAACACTGGGGCGAGGCGTGCCGTGTGAGGCGAGGACTGATGGAGGCGTGCGTACCTCCAAGTGCTGTGCCGGGCGTATGCCTGCAAACTGATACTTGGGGTGGAGGTGGCCAATTTCCATCTTGAGGCCAGGATGAATACAAAGGACGAAGACGACTGAACGATGTGCTATGACAGGATAGCGGGTTATCCATGTGGGCCCGGAGGTCGGCAGGGGCCACACTAGCTCCGAGGCGGATCCAGTTTCGAGATGGTGAGGCTCAAGTTTTCCAGTCAACAGTCGGCGATTGACTGAATCCCGAGAATTGAGGCGAGCAGGGAACTGCGGCAAGCCGAGCTCAGGGATGGCATGATGAAAACTCCGAAGAGCGCATGTCGGGGTCACCAATTTAGGGTTTTAGGGTTTTAGCAGTCCGAGGCGGATCCAGTGTCGGATGATGCTGAGATTCAAGTTTTATGTTGCCGGCCGGCGATTGACGGCAACCCAAGTGTTGAAACGAGCAGGAAACTGCGGCGGGAGCTCAGGGATGGCACGCATCGGGCAAACTCCGAAGTGGGCAGCGTGCGGTCATCAGTTTAGGGCTTTATGTTGCGCTCTATTCGACGGCTACAATGGCCAACCAAACAACAAAGAAGTTGAGGCCAAAGAGAACGTTTTTTTCTTACGCACGACTATAATGTGATAGTGAAGTCAGGTCGATACAGAGGTATCTGTACGCGAATTTTTTTTCTTCTGTATTGAGTTTTGTACAACTACAGTCTGTATCGGCTATTGAGTGACCGGATATAAGAATATATCGGCTACATGATGAAGGCTGTCAGAGTAGAGAGGCTACCATACGCTTCCGCGAAGGTTGGTGGTGGGACAGAAGGTAATTCCTCATCACTATCATCACTTTGTTCATTCTCTGCTGGCTTGGCTGCTACATCTGCCACAATGCTCTCCACAGTTACCTCCTCCTCCGTGGCAGCTTCATCGTCGGCACAGACGAAATCACTCACAGTGGTGGTGGTGTCGATCTGCAGCTTCTCCGTAGCGTCACTCCACAACGCAGACAGTTCGTATTCAGTGAGGTCCAACTCATCCTCCACTGGTCTAGCACCCTCAGCAATCTGTGGTTGAAAGCGTGCATGCCTCCAACAATTGCTGATCGTCTTTGCCGCAACAGCTTCCCACGACGCAGCTGTCAGCAGAGCAGCATCCTTCAGGTCGAAGAAGCCACCAGGGTTTGCCAAGTCCAGCTTATTCGAGTCGAATGCTGCAATCAGCTTCTGGATGACTCTGCGGCGATACTGGGCCTTGAAGCTGCGTATAATGCCCTGATCAAGTGGCTGAGTGACGCTTGTGGAGTTGGGTGGTAGGAATGCTACCTTCATGTTGGACAATGTCAAGTCCCGCACACCAGCAACATGAGCCGAGCAGTTGTCCATGAACATGATGATGTTGCGTTTCTGTCGAGCCATGTCTGCGTTGACGGAGAGCAGCCATTCTTTGAAGAGCTCGCCAGTCATCCAAGCGTTTCTGTTGGACTTATACGTAACAGGCAACGATTGGACATTCTTGAAGCAGCGAGGCTTAGCATAATGCCCGATCATGAGCGGAGTGAGCTTGTCACTGCCATCGAGATTAAAGGCAAAGAGCAATGAAACCCGTTCCTTCTTCTTCTTACCTCCTCTACACTTCTCGCCACGAAACGCTAGCGTCTTGTGCGGTAGGAGTCGGTAGAAGAGTGCCGACTCATCGGCGTTGAAGACATCCTTCGGCGCATATCCCTCGAGTAAGCCAGGAAGAACCTGGTCTTGCCAGTCGTGAATATCATCGGAACGAGCCGCGTGTTCACCTTCTCCAGCCTTCGTTCTTAGCGATAGCTGATGGCGCTTCTTGAACTTATCGCAGAATCCGCTGCTGGCGGAAAACTCTTCATCAGATATTCCGAAATGCTCGGCGAACTCTCTGGCTTTGGTTCGGATGGTGTCGTCGAAAACATCAACTCCGGCTGTCCTTGCCTTTACAACCCACTGGAACAGGGCGTCGTCCAGCTGAGGCCACTTGGAATGAGCAATCCGCTTCACCTTGCCGGAGCGTTGACCGGTTTCCCAACTTTTCCGACAAGAATCCTTGTTCTTCAAGATGGTGTAAATTGTGCTGGTAGGTTTTCCAGTCGCCCTCGAAATGTCACGGACTGACAACTTCCTTCTTTCATGATCATCGATAATTTTTATTTTCTCCTTCAAACTGATCGATACTCGTTGCTTCGACATGGCGGAACAGTTCACAACAAGCTTGCAATTGCAAGGAAAATAAATGAGTGACCGGCTCGCGCGCAGGCGCTAGCGCTTCTGTTGTTTTGTGGCTGCGCTTGTAGCTTTTTGTTGCACATGTGGCTGCGCGTGTAGCTCTTTGAGTCTTTGTCGTATGTGCTGTTGCGTTTGTGTCTCTGTGTCGTACATGCTGCTGCCCCGTGGTAAACGCTGTTGCGCTGTCTTTAAATGCTCTGTACATGCGACTGCACCGTCTTCTGTCCCCTCCGTATGCACTCTTTCTCGTCTTGTCCCCCTCGTACACGCATTTTCTCGTCTTGTCTCTGTTCGTCGGACCGGTTGCAGTCTTGTCTCCGTTCGTCGGACCGGTTGCCGTCTTGTCTCCGTCGTATTTGATCGTCTGCCGTCTTTGTCTCCCTTTTCGTTCTGGACTGGTTGTATCCCACACGGGCACCAATTTCGCGTCCACCGCCTCACTTTTCCTGACGTCTTCAAAATACGTTCCCTTGTCTTGTCTCGGTGTCAGTAGTCTCGTAGATCGTCGTCTCATGACAGCGCCAGAGGAGAAAAGTTCGTCCCAGTCGTAACAACACTACAGTATCACGCATGTGAATCTACGTTATATCGAGAGTGGGCACGTCTGGGACTGCGCTGCAGGTGCGTTATGTCGAGGTTTACGTTATGTAGAATTACGTTGTGCAGAACAAAATTTGTATGGGAGTGATGCTGTGTCGGCGGGGGATTAGATTTTTTTACGTACTAGCGAGGTTTACGTACAAGTGAGAGTTGTTATATCGAGAGTAGACCTGTACATCACTGGGGATTTGTGTGTATGAACTAAACGGTACGCACCCCGCGTAAAAGTTCGGAGTGCACGTGTTGCATACTAAAAACAGTTCAAAATTTCTTTCATTCACTTCACTCAAGCACAGCAGGATCTTCTCGATACTGGAGTACCCAACATCCTGTTTCAACCTCCCTCTTCGCTGGACATTGGTTGGTTAGTTGGATTTACTTAAAGTCGAACAACAAACAGGCATGTCTGCCTCCTCATATGAAGACCACTTCTGGCAGTAAAACATTTTA